GTGCTTACAAGAACATTTTGTCTCTTTGAGATAGATTACAAACTGATTGAAAAACACAAACAACTATTGATATTTCTTTTTATAAAATAACATCAACTCTTTCACTGTGGCAGAATACTGTATTGAGAGAATGAAAAACTAGTTTCCATTATTGTATCTTTTTAATTTTAGGCAAAAATTGCTTCCATTCCCAACTTAATTTTATGTCACTAATGGGAAATTTACCTACAATTGCATTTTGTTATTTGGTCTGAATGCATTACATAAAGAGTGGATTGGCACTCTGTATTTTAGAATGAACAGATTTGTCTGGATATAAACAGTTTTATTTATATTGTGCTCAATTCAATCATGTTAACATTTGTATGAATTTCAGCTCCAAAATAAAGGCCCATAATTTGTGACTCAAAGACCTTCAAACTGCATCTGTAATAGTCTTCAACACCAGGCATTTTCTAAATGTTTGCAGATGATAGATTTCTTGGAATAATAAAGATGATTTGGGAAGCAATGTTTATGTTTAAATTTGCACTTTATGGGAAATCATTTTTTCCCTCAGTGAAGTCCCATTGGTAGCTGACTCTTCATTTTTTTGGGCTTATCACCTGTTTGCTTTTCCATTTCATTTGTTCTTTTGTTCAACATTAAATGTGAAGACTGACTTATGTGTGACTGGAGTTTTCCCCAGACTTGTGGTTGGACATTGGCACAGGGCTACAGTGAGAGGTTCTGTGGAAAGTTGCTCCCTGAAGCTCAGGTGCTCATCCTGGTAGTTCCCCTTGGTGTTTTTGAAAAGTCACTCTCCCTTGATCTTTGACTCACCCACTGGTGAGTCCCTCCCTCTCTCTTGAACTCAAGACTGTCCCTGATAATTTTTGCTCAACTCTAGCACACTACCACTCTAGCCACAGCTCTACTTCTGGCTTTTGGGTGGTTTATTGGAGATAAAAAGCCAGCCCTGGTTGGCTTTGACCCATGATTTTCAGATCTCAGCCATCTGTGTAGCTAGGATCACAGGCCTGAGCCTGATGGTTATAATCTAATGTAATCATCATTATATTTGTCATTTTTCAGATCGAAATTAGAAAATTTACTTACACTGGGATTAGAAATTTTAATTATTTAACAACTGCAGTTGTTATGCCTTTATCACTGAGATTCCTCTGATGCTGTGAGTCAGCTATGACCCCAACGGACTTGTGACACCTCTTTGTTTTCTTATGTCTTCCTTATTGCACTGTAGCTTTGGTGGGGTCTGCATCCTGCTTTAAAGGTTGGGAAGTGGTTGGTTGTAATTAGAAGCACCTTACCTGGTTTGTTTTATTTTTCTCCCTTTCAGAATGCTGCTCATTTTTAAGAGGCTGCATTCCAATATAGATTGATCTCTTAAAGCTTTGCTCCAGTGGTGTTGCCTGTGCTTAGTGATGAGAAAGATCTGTTTCTTTCTGATTTTTACTGAGCACCTACTATGAGGTGATCCCTGAGCTGCCATTCTTATTTTAAACCCTCATGATATCTCTCCAGGATGTGGATTGTTACTATCCAAGTTTTGCAGATATGGAAGCTGACACATGGATAAACTAAACGAGGTGCCCAAAGTCTTACAGCTAACAAACAGGTGACCAGACACAAAACCACCTCTGACCTGCTCCTATTTGCTAGCCTATACAGAATATGGTCAGACATCCAATGCCCTCCAGACTTAGAAAAAAATTTCTCTGCAGGCTTTTCTTATAATCAGGCTCTACACAAAGGGCTTTACATGTAATAGGTACAGTAGTCTTAAAAGATCAGTCTTTTTTTTTTATTGTTCCATTTCACAGATGAAAGAATGAAGAATATACAGAAACAAAGTAGCTTACTAAAGTCACGTACTTTGAAGATTGGGACCAGGATTTGGTCAGAGGCAATTTCATTTATAACCTTCATTTTTCTTCATAGTTCCTATGGTATACTGCTTTGCAGTTTGATTTCCTAAATTAACGTTCATTTAGGAAATGTTCTAAGTAATATTTTTGTCATCTTTTTAAAAAATCAAGCAAAGAGGGCTGTTTCAAGAAATATATTCTAAAAAGGGTTAATCTGTGAGCCATTCTGCTTAGAGTAAAGGCTTATTTAAAAAGAGCTACCTCATGGGGCTGGGAAGGTGGCTCAGTGGTAGAGTGCTTGCCTTGCATGCCTGAGGCCCTGGGTTCGATTCCTTAGAACCACATAAGCAAAAAGGAAAAAGCCGGAAGTGGCACTGTGGCTCAAATGGTGGAGTGCTCGCCTTGAGCTGAAGAGCTGAGGGACAGCGCCCAGGCCCAAGAGTTCAGGTCCCACGACCAGACCCCCACCCCCCAAAAAAAAGAGCTACCTCAGCCCCTTACCTGGTTGGAGGGGGGGGTGGGCTTCTGCATAGAGCTCTGCTCACAGATTATGCACCTGTAGAGTGGGGTAGACAGTTGGGCATAGATCCTGACTTCCAGGATGATTCAGGTTAATCACGATAGTGCAAAGAAGGCATACACTACCTCCCCTGCCTAAGAAAATAACATGCATCAACAGCTCTCTTCCAAGATGAAGAAAGCAACCTGGAGCAGCTGCTCCACGTAGAGGTATTAAGTGTTGTGAAAACACCTGTGTGTGTCTAATTCCAGCCCAAACAAGCCTCCTTCTGGCTCATCAAGATGGGGGATGGGGGTGGGGAATTTACCTAAATGGAGATGACTGTCTCTATTTAGGTGATTTGTCTTTCATTTTTTATATAGATTTCTCTCCTTCACATTTCTGTTTCTAAAAATGGGTATAATAATTTGCATGCAATAAAATGTGTTCAAAAAAGTGGTGGGTTTGATGAATTTTGATAATTTTTTAGACTCATGGAACTACTACTCAAAATACAATCCCTCTGTGTCCCTTTCTAGTGAATTCCCTCTCCTGTTCCTTTGACTTCTGTCCTCAGTGGTCAGTCTCTCTTGTTTTGGATTTGATATAAATGAAACCATATAGCTGTATTCTGCTGTGTGTGGTTTTATTGAGGAATGCTCCTACACAACAAAAAGAAATGGGGATGAGTGTCCTGTAGTGTAGCACATAGAAGTTTCCAGGGTTCATTTTTTTCTAATTATGTTCATATTCATTGTAACCAAAGTGACCCACAAAAACTGATGCGCCTGCTTGCTTCTCAGAGCTTTTGGCTCCCAAATTGTTTCTCCCACTATTCTCTTATCATAAGGTAGCCTGCTGGTAGAATGTGACTAATTTACATTCAATTTAGGAGCCATCGTGATAATTTTTTTGAAAAGAAGTTGAAATTGTGAAGTAATTTTACTTTTTCTTGAAAAAAAGGAAGTGTGTCAGACGTGTTAAATGGTATGATTTTAGTATTTGCAAATGCCAGAGTAGTAAAAGGAGCAAGGAAGCAATTCCTTCTTCTTCAGGGTGGTGTCCAGCCGGCCCTGGATGTTCATTTTGTGGCTGATGTGTGCTGTGTACTTTTCATTGTCATGAGAGAATGTTAAGGAAAACTATCCCCACAAGAAAACAGCTTTTCTTGGCAAGTGAAATATAACTTCAGGAGCCAGAACTGGAGACATACGGTACTATGAATGAGAGCTGTGTTACTTTATTGGATCTGGGTCCAGGCACTATTTATACTGCAGCATATTCAGCACCAGATTGTTAAATCTTAATACTGAAACAGTGCATCATTTTAATATTTTTGTTCTGTTTATTCCCTGTTTTCAAGCATTATGTCAAGCATTGCGCATTCATTTATTTCATCTTGGACAGGACATGCCCTGACCAGAAATTTTATTTCCTGTTGTTGGAATTTTGCCCTGTAGCTATAAAGTATCATTTTGTGAAGCGTTTAAAAGTACCTTTGAGTATACAGGTGTTCTTGCACTCTCACTGGTGATAAAAAATATTATTTTTTGAAGAAAAATGTAGTTGGACTCACCCACATTGTCAAAAGTAAAAATAATGATGCTATTTTTCTTTTATCTCTAAAATGTAACTTTTTAATATTTGACAAGATCTAATATCCTAGGGACTACTGAGTTTTTCATGGCATAGAAATAAAATTTTTGCTATCCTCTGTCATTTGCAAAATGAGTTTCTCAAGTTTTCTTCATTAATTTTCTGTGTGCCCTGAGCACCAGACAAGATGGGCTCATCTTATGCATAAGTTAGCATTTCACCATATGTTGCTAAAACCATCCCATGAATCTTCCTGTAACAAGGGGATTCCTAAAATTACTGCTCTCTGGAGCTTAAAGTTTGACCAGGATTTTTATTCTTTTCTCTTTATCATACACATTTTCCAGGTGCAACAAAAAAAAACCTACAAAGGAAGGGTACTATTGTCATTCTAGAAAGAAACAAAGTTCTTAAAAAGAAAGGAAATCCAAGGCATCGTTATTATTTCTGATCTGGGGGCGGGGTTGTATGACTGGTCTGGCACAGGAAAGGAAGCCCTCTGCCTCGTGAAAGGCCAGTCTAGGGATGAACTCTGCTTCACCAATTTCAAATGCCGTATGCCCTGGGAGTCACACCATAGAACAATATAGAACATGACTGCAAACTGAGCCCACACACAACATTTTTCTTGTTCAGTTTAAGACCAAATCTTGTATTTACTTAAAGGTTACTTGATTGATTGATTATTTATGAAGTCAACAGTCATATATATTTAGCATCAGTTTTAAGTTAGGCTGAGAAACAAGACTTTGGGGAAAGGAAGTATCAGGGTGGCTTTCTAAATAACTTAAGAAAGAAGAAAACATCGGAGGCCTGATTGTCCATGATTACACTTCATCCTTTTCATTCCTGTCTTCCTGTATAGCTAACTAACTCAATTGTCAGCCAGAGAAAAATAGCTTATTGCCCTGGGTTGTAAAATATCAGCGTGGGCCTTGAATGTTGACTATTGAATGACCTTCTTCACATTGAACAAACAACAGGAAGGTTTAATAAATAGCACATATGTGTTTATGATGTTTTTCTTCCCTGTGTAGGAATAATCAAGCTGGGGAGGTGGAACCCTCTCCCCCTCAGTTATGTGACAGATGCACCCGATGCGACAGTGGCCGACATGCTACAAGATGTCTATCATGTGGTGACGTTGAAAATTCAATTACAAAGGTGGGTGTTTCTGAACATCTGTCTTTCCTTCCTCTCAGAGCTGCTCTGGTGATCCTAGATTCACTGCAGAGATGAGCCTGCCCTGGCTTCATTAATTTCTAGACATTGGATGAAGTAGAGAGAGATAGTGGGGCAGGAGGGGTGCTTCACCAGGCATCTTTATAGTCCACATTCCAACTGTTTTATGTTTTGTTTTCAGAAGCAGTGAAGTGGTAACCCAGGGGCAGCTTGATAAATCATTAAAAATCTACAGGGCACTCGAAGGGGAAACTTTCCATAACCCCTCATTCATTGGGTCCTCTGGACTTGGTTCAGAGCTTAGCACATAGCCTTTGAAGCACTAAACCCTTCTGCTTCTTTCAGGTGGGTGCTGAAGGGTGAGTTTAGTTCTTTTGCAGGTTTAGAAGCCAGCCCTGGAAATGTTTCTCCTCTCCTTTCTAGTGATCACCTCAATAAAATATATACTGGGCCTACAGAGATTTGTAAATGGCTCCTGTCTTCTGCCTTCCTGACAGGCTTTCTTTCCTGATAACTTGCCTCAAGAATCAAGAGGTCCTTTTATTGAAGAGTATGTGCTAGTTGTGATTTAAGAAATGCTGTTCTTCAATGTAAGGACTTTTGAATTTTCTCCAAAAGAAGAAAAATCTAGGGGGTACTTGAGGGTGTTACCTTAAAAGTTTTTTTTTTGTTTTATTTCTGTTTTTTTTGGGGGGTAGTCTGGGAAAGTAACATTTCTGAATTAAAAAAAAACCTGGTTTAAAAAATAGCTTTCTTAATACTCAAAGTGATAATTTTCCTTTGGCCGGTGTGATAGCGGCCTTAAAGAAACCCTGTCAAGTATCATCAATGTTCTGCAAAAGCAGTTTTTCCTATCTTCCCTCACTAAGAGCTCATCTGTGAACCCACTTCTCAGCAGCCCTCGTAAGGCTAGTCCAGGACCAGAAGCAAACAGTACACCTGTGTCTTCTGCTTCAGCATTTATTCCTGCTCTATTTTTCAGTTGTTCAAAGTTGGAAGACTTGCCTGCGGAGCAGTGGAACCATGCCACAGTCCGCAATGCCTTAAAGGAACTGCTCAAAGAGATGAACCAGAGCACATTAGCCAAAGAATGCCCTCTCTCCCAGGTCAGTATCTTCAGGGAGGGGGTCTGGGAAGCAGAAAGTTACCGGTGGACTGTCTAGGTGGAGGGCACTTGTGTTTGACACAAGCTGTCTTCTCTTATTTGTACAGTCACACTGCATTTACAGTGGAAAAATATGGAAACTACGATGCTTTCATATGGGTTTTTAATAGAGCTTTGAAGTTATGGGAGTGTTTGAATGTATTTTACATACGTAATGGCCAACTTCACATTTATCTCATTGAAAGTAGGGATTGTGTCTCCATTTTATAGATCAGGTAGTCAGAACTTAGAGACCCACTTCCGTTTCCTCCTGTGCTTACTCAGCTCATCAGGTGACAGGTTGAGTCTCTTTCTAGACTTCTTTAAAACAACTGATGCCAGGATCACTGCTTGACTTGGTCAATGGAATGGGTCAATCATGCTGAATCCATCTGGGTATGATTGATCAAGCCTTTTCTCTGTCTGGTAGAGAGAGGTATCGTTATACCGTCTACATTTATAGAATTCTCCTAGTGAATTCACCACATTAAAATGTATCATGAAAAAAAATGAAAATGATAGTCCATTTTTAGTGAACTGATCATAAACTAAAACAAGCCATGAAAATAAGAGACCAAGGTGATCAAAGGAAGGAACCAGAGCCAAGCCATGTTAGGTATTTCCTCACTAGAGCTTGGCAATTGCATAAAGGAACAATTGAGTGGATAGTACATATTTACTTGAACATCCCAGTGATCTGTAATTCAAAAGAGCAGCCTTGAAGGAAGCAGAAAAGGGAGGAGAAGTCCATAAAAAGGAAACAATTGTAGTCTATGTATTTAAGGGGGAAGTCATGATTTAGCCATTTTGTCTGGCCAGATGCTTAGAAAATATAGATTATCTTTTGTGTGTCTGTGTATTTGTTTTTGATTTCACCTTTCAAAGTGCTGACCTCCTCTTCTATGTTCCCTGATGTCTCTGTGAGTCATCATACCTACTTTCTTCTTTAGCCCCCGACCCCAGCAGCCTAATTTATTATACCATAGGTACTAATCTTCCTTATTAAATTGTCTTCTTTTACCTTCCAATTTGAAACCATTATGAACCCAGATTCTTGTGGCATATGAATTCTTATCCAAGGAAGAGTTATCTTAAAGTCTACTTTTGACTGCAAAACCTCATGCCCTTAGGGTTTTGATCTGTATAAATAAGTAGTGCTATGGTACTTGCCATGTCCATCTTGTGATGTTTAAAAAGAGGAAACAGAATCTTGTTAATTAAAAAAATATAGCAGGGTGCTGGTGGCTCATATCTGTAATCATAGCTATTAGGAGGCTCAGATGTGAGTAGCATAGTTCAAAGCCATGATCTTTAGGAAAGTTCATGAGACTCTTGCCTCCAAAAAGTTGGAAGTAGAGCTGTGGTTCAAGTGATAGAGTACCAGGCTTGAGCAGAATAGCTAAGAGACAGTGCCCAGGCTCTAAGTTCAAGCCACAGTACTGGTGTGCATGCACACGCATGCGCATGCATGCGTACACACAATGGTTAGGCTGGGCACCATTGGCTCATGCCTGTAATGTTAGATGCTCAGGAGGCTGAGATTTGAAAATCTCAGTTCAGAGATTTTTCTTTCCAAATAACTAGCAAAAAGTTGGAAGTGGAAGCATGTCTCAAATGGCTGTTACTCTTGCTAGCCATGTGCAAAAAAGCTAAGTCAGAGTATTAGAGTGTGAGGCCTTTAGTACAAGCCCCAGCAACAACAGAAGAAAAGATAGTGAAAGAATAAATAATTCTTTAAAGGTGTGCACTTCTAGTATGCTCCTAAATGTTACATATGCTCTCCGTGACTAGATAAGTTCAATATTTATTAAATATTAAAAAGTTTACTTCTTAAGCCATTTTAAGCCTACAAATGAGTAGCATGAATTACATTCGTAATTTTGTGTAGTCATCACCATTACCTATTTTCAAAAGTTTTTCCTTATCCCCAACAAAAGTTCTATAACCATGAATTAGGTCTTCATGAATTAGCTACTTCACCTAAGTGACATTTGTAGATTTATGTTGGTTTATTTCACTTAGCATATAGACAAATTATTTATTTTTTAAATTATCTTTTAGTAGCTGTTCAAAGGAGTTACCACTCAACAAATCAGTTTATGAATACAATGCATCTTGATTGATGTCACCCCTTTCAGACAGATGGTTTTTAAGGCAGCTCTTTTTCTAAGGCTTTGTTGCTATTATGTGTGTGTGTGTGTGTGTGTGTGTGTGTGTGTATGTATGTGTGTGTGTGTATGTATGTATGTATATATTTTCAGAGCCTTAGCCTTACTAGCCTCTACCACTAAGCCACACACACACTCAGCCTTTGGCTTTTCATTTGCCTTTCAGAGAGCATCTTATTCTAGCTTTGCCCATGTTGGCCTTAAGCTACAATCTTTCTGTCTTTGCCTCTGCTTCTATGAAACTGTGAACACAGGCATTAACCATCATACTTGGCATGTTGTCAAATATTTGAGAAAGAAATAATTGACTAAAGTTATTGAACTTGAAGATGTTAGTAGATTTCCAGTGTGACAGTGATATGGCAGTCTACCTGTAGAAATAGACTATAGGATACTCATCGCTGTCATTTTAAGCATGGCTAGCCACTTGGGGATTTTTAAAGCACCTAATTTATGTGTACAATATGCCAAAATAACGAGGCAGTGAAATAAGCACTCAGTTGGGTCTGTACCTAAGTACAAATTGAGCATGTCATCTATAGACAGGGGACTGATCAACTATGTAGACCAGTTAACTGATTACAAACTATCCATTTGTTTTACTTAAAAAAATTTTCCTTGTTCTAGTACTGGGGCTTGAACTCAGGGCCTGGGTGCTATCCCTGAGCTTTTTTTTTTTTTTTGCTCAAGGTTAGTGCTCTATTGCTTGAGCCACAGTTCAACTTATAGGTATTTTGATGGTTAGTTGGAGATAATGGTTTTGTGCACAAGCCAGCTTTGAACCGAGAGCCTCAGATCTCAGCCTCCCGAGTAGCTAGGATTATAGGCATGAATCACCAGTACCTAACATTAAATTCATATATACACTGTGGATGCATCCTATCTGGTGTTAAGGAGTTTCCAAGTGTCTATTTTATTTTATTTTTTATTTTATTTTTTTTTGCGTCTGGTCGTGGGGCCTGAACTCTGGGCCTGGGCGCTGTCCCTCAGCTCTTCAGCTTAAGGCTAGCTCTCTACCACTTGAGCCACAGTGCCACTTCTGGCATTTTTCTTTTTGCTTATGTGGTGCTGAGGAATCTAACCCAGGGCTTCAGGCATGCAAGGCAAGCGCTCTACCACTGAGCCACCTTCTCAGTCCGAAAGTGTCTATTTTATTTTTAAGTAAGGTTGTTTAAATTTGTGGCCCAACTTTAGAATTCATGCTGAAGAAAGCTCATGAAAGACAGCATAACATAATTCCTAACTGGTACATTGCAATGACCATAAGAAGTGACTTGGCTGGGAGATCAGCAGCAACTTGAAAAGGAGTTCTCACATAGAGTAATTTCAAAATACACTTTTCCAAAGCCCAGAGGAAATGGGGTTTTCAATTAGAATGGCAAAGGTTTTCAGTTCTGGTATCATAGTTCATATATGAGGAGAGGAAAAGATAGTAGGATATTACCAAATGATGTTAAATAAATTTTGCATGACGAAATAATTCATCCCACACTGTTTTTCCATTTACTATGCTTAATTGTAGTATCATTATAATGTCATGTTTAAGATGTTATTTAGCATATCACAAATCAGTATGAAAAAATGGAAAGTAAGCCAAGAATGTATATTACTTATTGCCTGCCATGTGTTTTCTTTCCTACCTGGAGATGTCAGTTATCTTTCCTTCCACCAGGTATTCTCACTAAAATCATTCACTATGGTTTTGAAATGTTCTTTTCTTTTTCTTTTTGTTGGTCATGGGGCTTGAACTCTGGGCCTGGTGCTGTTCTTCAGCTCCTCAGTTCAAGATGAGCGCTCTACCGCTTGAGCCACAGCGCCACTGGTGGTTATTAAGAGTCTCATAGACTTTCATGCCTGTGCTGGCTTTGAACCATGATCCTCAGATCTCAGGCTCCTGAGTAGCTAGGATTATAGGTGTGAGCCACTGGCATCTGGTGAAACGTTCTTTTTCATGGCAGATGTATTTTGTATCTGCAGATTAACTATTCTTAGTATCACATTGCTATTCAAACAAATAATTTCCACCATGCCAACAGGAATGTGATGAAGATTATTCACTTGTCCTTCTTTTTGTAGGAAAAGGTATGATGCTACGATCTTTCTTTGTCTTTACAAACATATTATATAAATCATCTTAACCTGTGTTTAGTATTTTGCTTTTTCTTGTTAGTCTTAAGTTGTCTTTAGGTTTCTTTTCTATTCTAAACACCTTAATTCACATACCTGAGGGACCTAAGATCACTATTTTTGTTTTATATATTTATTTATTTTTGTCACCTCACGTCCTGTCTTGTCTGAAGAGTTGGGTGTAGCATTAGCTACTGAGCTGTGTTACCTAATGGAGGTGGTGTGAACATTACCTTCCATCAGTGGACAGGTGCCCCATACCTTTACACTGTGGAAGAGATGCTTCCTCATTTTGAGCTTCTACTTCCACATTTTGAAAACTTGTAATCATGTGTGACAACTTTTCTCTTGACTAGTTGAAAACATAAGTTCAAAACTTATCTTAGGAACCTGAAAGAAAATTTATTTTTAGAGCTAGTGCTGGTAGGTTATACTTGTAGTCCTAGCTACTAAGGAGATCTGAGAATCATTGTTCAAAGCCAGCCTAAGCAGGAAAGTCTGAGACTCTTATCTCCAATTAACTACCCAAAGGCCTTCTGACTAAAAATGGAGCTGTGGCTAAACTGGTAGAGTACCAGCCTTGAGCAATAAAAGCTCAGGAACAGTGCATAAACCTGAATTCAAGCCCCTAGATGGGCACACACACAAATACCAATACACATGTCTTCTGGGTCACTTTTTACAGTATTGCTTCATATTAACATGATGGATTGAACAGATGACTTTGATCTTGCTCATCTATAAGGAGATAGAGGAAATGCTAAAGGCCCCAGTGTTGTGTTCTAGAATGATTGTAAAACTTTAAAGATCAAATGACCTGAAAAATTATACATATTTTCTTATGTAGTAAATGGAATTAGATGCTTTGTTACTCAACCCATTTTGCACTAATTCTGGCCCATAAGGTTTGAGATGCAATTGATTGGACTGGGGACATAGCTCAACACACATAAAACTCTCAGTTTGATCCTCAACATTAGAGAGAGAAAAAGAGAGAGAGAGAGAGACAGACAGACAGACAGAGACAGACAGAGACTAATAGACTATAAGATGCATCCCTATTTTAGATGATTAAAAATGGCCTTAGAATTGATGAAATGTAGTAAATACAGATGCTTTCAATCCCACTATTTGCTGATTTGTATTCAGACTATGAGAATATAACAGTCTTAGGCTTAGAGAATGTTCATGTTTAAAACTAGAAAAAAATATAACATGACGTTTACTCTAAAATAGCCCCAAGGTGTACCTTTTCTATTTTAAAAATCCTTTTAGTAATAGATCATAAAAATTCTGACCAGTGAAACTAGTTTGGATGTGTCCTGCAAGAAATTTATATCAATAAATTGTGCCACAAACTTGAAATCTTTCTGGTGGCTAACTATTCTCCTTATCTAGCAATGGTCTTTGTTTGCTTTCTAATTCTTTTTTTTGGGGGGGTCCAGTTGTGGGCCCTGAACTCTGGGGGGCTTGGGCTCTGTCCCTCAGCTCTTCAGCTCAAGGCTAGCACTCTACCACTTGAGCTACAGCACCACTTCTGGCTTTTTTCTTTTTGCTTATGTGGTGCTGAGGAATTGAACCCAGGGCCTCATGCATGCAAGGCAAGCACTCTACCACTGAGCCACCTTCCCAGCCCCAGCTACCTAATTCTTTTGCTGTACTTATAACTTAATCTGCTTATTCTTTGTTCTGTAATCATGTAGTGATAGAAAGTCATTTATAGGAATCTGAGGAGGAAAGCAAGTATGATGTGGTACTCAGGGTCTTGCAGTCTCACTTGGCTTTTTTTGCTCAAGTCTGGCACTCTACCACTTGATCCATTTCAGTTCTTGCTGGTTAATTGGGAATAAGAGTCCCACAGACTTTTCTGGCCAGACTAGCTTTAAACAGTGATCCTCATATTTCAGCCTCCTAAGAAGCTGGGATTGCTGGCCTGAGTCATTAGCTTTGGCAATCTAATTCTTTATCAAATGTGTTGTAACAACTATCAGGCCCAGTAATGGAACCAATAGAGCCCATTCTTTCATTCTTCCCACACTGTAACATTGGCCTTGTACAGTGTCATTGAAGATGTTTCTGGAATGGGGAATGATCTGGAGACGCTGGAGAGTTCAGGATATTTGAGTTATCTGGGGGCAGAACAAGTGAGCTTCTAGCCTTACTATAGGAACCAGGAAGAGTTGAGAGATAGCTCCAGGAAGTACATAGATACTTCTATTTTAGTCAGTTTTCTAGACTATCTTATAATAGAAAATTGAACTCAGACACCTGCCCATTGCTGTGTATTCTGTGTCTTTCTTTGAGGATAACATTCACACAAACATACTAGATGAAAAGCATGTTTACAATTATTCACATACACTAGTGTGGCCGGTGTAGCTATTATTAGTTTGCTTTTTTTGTTAAAATTGTTATTATTATGACACTTCCATGTGACATTTTAAAATTGTAATCTCTGCCCCTTTCTATGTGTTAAATTTCAGTGACTCAGATATCCCACATCAGAAGTATGTGAGACACGAGGTAGAAAAAAATTTTTTTTAGGATATAGATAGAGTCTCTGTCCTCAAGAGTCCCATGGTCTAAGAACAGAGAGAAAACCTCAGACCAGAGAGGGAGCTAGCTCAGCTAACCAGGAAGTGGCTTTTTTCTTGTTTAATAACAACACATAAAGGAGACCCTGACTCATGGTGATTAGGAGCTGACTTATCCTCTAAGGGAAAAAGTAAAGCTCTGTCAATTTTATGAAACACTCAGGTAATAGTGCCTCTTTGAGTTCTTAATGCTGTGTTCAGTTCTGGGATCAAAAGATTTCCCCCTTCTATCTCCCCTTGGTGAGAGTGGGGGTGGGGGAGGAAGAACTGTCACTTACCAATCAGCAACTGGAGGAGGCTAGCCATCTGTTGTGTAGAAAGGGCCAAAGAGGTTTCTGTGAATTGAATTAGGAGCCCTTTCCTCTGATATTGCCTAGTGATTGATAAAAGAAAGCAAGTCTGATGTTTTAAATGGGAGTCTATGAAATAGGTCTGTCTGCTGGTGTTAGAACCTCCTGGTAAACAACTTGCTTTTGACTTGATTTATTGTTATCCTTTTTATCTCTACTACTTTGTAGAAATGTCAATAGAAGTTCTAAGACTTCTCTGAACTGCTGCATGTCTGGGATAACCTTTTTCGAGACAGATGAGATTTCAAGGCAAGATATAAAACCTAATAGAGTTCATTTAGATTGCTTGTGTTGTCCATGCTCATTTGTTTTTTTAAACACAATTTGCAGAAATAGAATCTATATATAACATATACGTGCAATATCAAAGTCAGTCCAAGTACAAGTTGACATCTGCCATCAATGTTGACCTAGACATGCCATATTGATAACCAGCATATCTCTGTAGAACATTAATTCAAGACGTGCAGTTGTAATCCTAATTATTTTCAGTGTTAAGCCAGATCATGCTCCTTCTTACTTTCCTTCTAACTCAAATCACAAAATTAGTCAGCTCAGGGGTTAAGCTGAGGAGGAAGAGGAAGATGAAGAGCAAAGAAGAATCACATACGTAAGCACTCAGGAAGCTTTAGCTTTGAATCATTTTTGGTTGAAACAGTACAAGTGTTAGGTTTAGTTTCCCCTGCTCTAAAATAGCACTGTTAATTTTTTCATTTGGTGAATTTTCACACAAGTGCTAATCACACGTTTCTATAAATTATATTAATTTAACTTATTTCCCTAAACGTTGTTCTGCAGTGTGCAGCACGGATGTTCTCAGATTCTTGGCTGTGTAAGCTTGCTGCAGTTGGAAGCGGAACAGAAACATCTGAAAGGCATTATTTGGATTACGGATGCTGGAGCATCTGATCTCACCTTTTGCTCTGGTTCCTAAATCACAACTCTTCTTCCCCTATGCCTGTAATCTTCATGTCTTGTCTCTTCCATCTTTGGCACTGCTCCCGGGCCAGCTTTTTGGAGAAAGCATTGTCATTGTACAGATGTAAGCTTTAAAGGGTAGAGATTCAGGTCATCATATCTGATGTGAAGTAGTTTAGTGTGCAGGACAGTGAAGGCTTCAAGTTTAAAAGATGAAGAAATTTGACATGAACTATAATGCACTCCTTCTTGTCTCTAAAAAGATATATTTGAAAAATAAATATATTTGAAATATGTTTATTTAATTTTTCACATATATGAAATATATTTGAAAAATAATTAATATTTTTTCTTTTCAGAGTATGATTTCATCCATTGTAAATAGCACATATTATGCCAATGTGTCAGCAACTAAGTGCCAGGAGTTTGGGAGATGGTATAAAAAATATAAGAAGATTAAAGGTAAGGTATATTTTGTTTTAAAACTTGTTTACAGTTTCTTAGGTAAATGAATTATTGGTTGTTTGGAATATATGCTATGTATGTATATACTAATTATATATTTATGTATTGCACATGTATATGCAAGTTTATATATATATGTATATGTGTATGTATAAACATATACACATACATATACATACACAAACATACATACAACGTACACTCAAGTAGAATTCATTTTTTAAATTTTTTTTGGGTCTGGTCCTCGGGCCTGTACTCGGGCCTGGGCGCTGTCCCTCAGCTCTTCAGCTCAAGGCTAGCGCTCTACCACTTAAGCCACAGCGCCACTTCCAGCTTTTTTCTTCGCTTATGTGGTGCTGAGGAATCGAACCCAGGGCCTCAGGCATGCAAGGCAAGCGCTCTACAATTGAGCCACCTTCCCTCAAGTAAAATTCTTAAGAGTTCTTTTATGAGATCCAAATTGGCTCCCTTGAAATTAAGATGGTATTAGAACTACAAAAAATTCTGACCAGAGTATATCAAGTTGTTAAATTTCAGCAGTAGAATCTGAGAAAGCCTAAAACCTTTAGAATGGAAGTTTAAAAACAGTTTCATTCTAGATGAAATAGCACTTCAGATTGGACTAGTGATTAACAAATTGGAATGACTATCATATCATCAGGAAATCTTTGGTCAGAAACAGAATTTCATATTTATTTGGAGACAGGGCTGGAATGGTGGTTAAAGCCAGGGCTCTCTAGTTTGGCAGATTGGGGTTGAAACCTCTCTTAAACTTGCTAGCTGTGTCACCTTGAGAAAATTATTCAGTGTTTTTGGGATTAGATCTTTTCATCTGAAAACTGAAAATAATAAAAGTATGCAGGTCGCTGTGTAGCTGTAAGGACTAGAAAAGACACAAGGTGACATCCTAATAACTCATAGCTACAATACTACAGTAGTAGTAGAGAGTGTAGTAATAATGTATGATGTATGGAATTGTGTTTGATCCTGAAAATACAGTTCTCTAGCTTAATTGGTTGTATGTGATTTATACTATGCAGTTCTTTTAAACATATTAGTGATATTTTGCTTTTCAAATATGTTAATGTTGGAAAGTTCTTTTGTGTTCTCCAATTTGCATAAGTGAAACCAGTCCTGGAAGGTACTTAGGATATTCTTTGTATCAACCTTCCAGGGCTCGGCCAGTCCATATTTGGTATGATTATGATATCATCTGTCATGCTTTATTCTAGCTGTCCACAACGTACTTACAACTTACAGCCCCTTTATATGAGCCACATGATATTTTATGGTGGATATCTACAAGTAAAGGGTGGATATGTTTCACTACCTGCAGGTTTCCTCTGGGAAACCGAGGATCAAAATAATGCTTTTGGATATTGAATATTTGGGAGCTTGAGTTTATAGGGTTACCTTTTCAGGAAATAAATTTTTACACTCATTGATGGTACATTTCTGATCACAAAGAAATGAGAGCATGTTACACCAAGTATACAATTTAAAAGGAATGCAAAAATGTTGAACTACCCAGGAGAGATTAAGTGCACTGCAAATTGAATTAAGATCCATTTCTTTTCAATGTATTCTAAAAATTTTGAGCCCTTTCGATTCTGATTTGGGCACTTGCTTTAGAATATTAATATTCGCTCGTGTAGGAGAAGATGAATAACTCCTCATTATAAAGCATAATTGTTTGGTTCAGAAGGTTTTCTTTTCTGTTAAGTGTTGCCTCCAAGTTTTTCTTTTCAAATAGAATTGTTAAAAGTGCTTGAACATATCCTCTTTGGCTAAAAAGCAAAAGAATTGTGTGGCTTCAAGGGCATTTGTTAGATCATATTTACTTGCTGTTGGAAGTGAAAGGAAAAGTATCCTCTTTTAATATGCTAGAGTATAATTCTAGATTCAGAAAGCCTGGGGACCCTTCACTCTAGTGTTTTCACAATTCTTGCCACAGTATGTGTGTGTCTGTGTGCGTGTGCGTGCGTGTATGTGTGTGTGTGTGTGTGTGTGTGTGTGTGTGCATGCACAGATGAACACTCAGGTCCTTTGCTCTTCTTCCTCTAATCAAGATTGGATTCTTTAAACTCTTTTTTTTCAAGATAGTAAATGCACAGTTAAATCTTTAAGTGCCATAAAAGCAGATTGAGACCTTGATTTCATTCAGTAGGTCAAGGATCCACACCTGAAAAATCTGTCACACACTTTGTACACATGTTGTTCAAAGAGATGGAGTTAGTCATTGCCATTGAAAAGTGTGTGTGTGTGTGTATGTGTGTGTTTGTGTGTGTGTGTGTGTGTGAGAGAGAGACAGAGAGTAGTGTCAGTAGGAGGAGAAAAAGGAAGGTTAAGGTATGTGTGAAGTAAACACAAGCTGTCATAAAACAGTTCAAGTTGTGTTGATTCATCAGCCAGGGGAGTGGGAGGAGAAACAAAGAATTCATGACAGGTAAAATGGTGTACAGAAAATAAACACTCAGAGAAGTGTGTTTTATTAACTTTCGACCCTCAGAGAAAGCAAGTGTTGGAACCAGTTAGTCACATTTTATTTGATAGAAGCATCTTGCTATGAATAGAGGGCACAGAGGGATCTCCTGTGTAGAAAGTAGGAGTGATTTGGTTTGCAAAATTTGTCACCATCTATTTTCAAAATGAACCGGAGAAATAATGAATTTCAAATCTGGGAATCAATCATAGCAAAACCAGATTTTTACTTCAAGGCTCTTCCTGAGAATCAAAAGTCAAAATTCCTCATCTGTTCACACCTCCCCACATTGCATTTTCCCCAGAGTTACTGGCCTGCATCTACTCCCCCTGATACTCAGTGTAGAGGAAAGTCTCAGCTAATTTACTGATGTCCCAACCTAAATACAGGCTACATTGTTAAATATGTTTTCTATTACCTGCTTATGTCTGTTTTAATAAAACAGTGGGAACAAAATGGTTGCTTCTTAATCAAAACCATGATTTCCTAAATACAAGCTATGTGATTCTGTTACAAATTGCCACAGATAAATCTCCTAGGTCAAGATTTTTTTCTTCTCATAGAAGTAAATAAACAGTAAAATAATTATACATGTAGAAAGATCAAAGTAAAATATGACTAGAACCTGGCAAAAATAAAAGTCTACTGGAAGAATTAAAATAAAGGATCAAATTCCAAGTTCTATCGTTAATGCTTAAATAAATAGGAGAAAAATGAACAATCAATAATTTGATATCATTAAAAACAGATGTAAAAACTATATACAAATGAAATTGTCTAAATTTCGAAGTAAACATTTTAATGTGCATTTTTTGAATTTGTTGTTATTATAGCTAAATTATTTACACTTATTCTTTAAAAAGTTCTAAATTAGTTTGGCTTTGCATGTTAACTTTATTTTCCTGAGTGATCATGGTGAAGTATGTTCTGTTTACCTTTTTCCTTTACTTTCAAAGACAATCAAGGTTGACACAGACATATTTGAGATTGTATATTCTGGTTTCAAGGTCCAACCATGGACCTGCTTACCAGGATTTTTTGAAACTGAAGAAAATGGAGTGGTGTGTGGTGGGGTGATCGGTGTCATAGGTTGGTATAGACAGCATTTTGTTTTAATTGCCATTTACCCTATACTCTCATTATTTCTGATCTACATTTTACAGTGTTAAAACTCTTAAATTAAGAAAAAGTACACACTTTATGTAAAAGAAAAACAATTAACAGATATTTAACATTAGATGTTTCATTAGTATTGGACACAAAGATAATTTATAAAGCACCTAGAAACATGCATTTTCAGTTTTGAGATAATGAAGAAATTACTCCAGAGAGTTTTCTTTCATGAGTTCTGCTTATTTTCATAAAGCAATTATTATTTTCTTTGACCCACCTTTTGTATAAACTCTAGATATGAACTTGTCTTATCATTTTTAAAAAACGAAGTGGCAATTATGCTCTAAATACTAACACCAGTTATACTCAGGACACTTCACTTTTGTAGGGAATATAATAAAAATAAGAAAAAGTTATAAAAATGAAGATCTCATAGGCTAGGAATGTATATCCCCAGTTAGAAGAAAGTATTTTCATATCTCTAATAAATTTTATTTATTTATCTATTTTTGAGACAGAGTCTTGCTCTATTGTCCAGTCTGGCCCTGAACTTTCTATGTAGCCCAGACTTGCCTTGACCTCAAAATCTTTCTACTTCCTTAGTGCTGGGATTGTAGGAGGTCTCTAAAATTTCTCTTTTGTTTTTTAGCAGAAGAAAAATGAATTATTATCTTATCCAACACTTAGGCTTTTTAAGAATTGAAGGGTCATTTAAAGTTTGTACAAATCCTTGTGACTCTCATCGAATTATTGTGTCATAAAATAATACCAGCCAAACTCTGCATTTGGCTAGGTGCAAAATCACTTCCTTCACTTTCCCTTTCATAACCTCTACTCAAAAACTCTGACTTCTAGTTTTCTTAATTTCCTTTGTTTATTTAGGCTTATTTTGCAAAATATCATAAAGTTTGGAGGAAGAAGATTTATAAACTAGTGTTACTTTTCTGATCCTGGTTTATTCTAGCAATCAGTATTTTATCTGACCCTGTCTGATCTAGTCTTGCAAGATCAAACGTCCAGGCCAGCAAGCAGACAGTAAACAAAGCCCATGAAGGGTTTCAGTAAACACAAAGATTAGATGTTGAATGAAAATTAAACTCCTTGAACTAGTCTTCTGTACTAAAGTGGTTAAGTGGGTTGTGATTAAAAGAAATAAGTAATTATGATCATTATAGCTGAAATGATATAATGTTACCACATTTAAAGCACCTCTTGTACCCAAAAATGATTGTGTCATTTACAAAGCGGTGCCCTGGAATTGAATAGAGAAATCAGTGTCTCCTGACCTGGTTCTAAAAGTCAGCCCTTGCTTAGCCATGATGGTACCGTGGTCAGGACAATGACTTTAATCCACTCTCCATACCCCTGCCTCTACCACTGTTTAGTTCTGATGAGGTAAAAG